GAAGAAGTAGTTGAGATAGCTCTTCATTCAATTCGTTCTCTTTTGTGTACATCTACAAACAGTACCCCTCATGAGCGAATGTTTCATCATTCCAGAAAAGCTATAAATGGAGCTGCACTTCCTTCATGGTTGATAACCCCCGGAAAAGTATTTATGAAAAAAAAATGTGAGGCAGTCCAAATATGAACCCCTCGTTGAAGAAGTACAGCTAATTGAAGCAAATCCAAACTATGCTGTTGTTAGACGTGAAGATGGTAAAGAAACAACAGTAGCCTTAAGACAACTTGCACCACGAGGAGATGCATCTCTGGACTGTGTTAGTGGATCGGAATCTGCGGTTTCTAATGAACAGTTTATCAAAGATCCACCAAGCCCTAGATTGAGTATATGTGAGGAAAATCCAAATATTTCTCCTGTTAACATTCTGGAAGATCAAGGTCATATTGAAAGTGTTTTAGAGGAAGAAAATAAACACAGTCTTATTAGAAGAGGTACCAGGGAAAGAAACACTCCTGCTTACCTTAAAGACTTTGTTCAAAAATAAAGTTGGGGTGAATGTCCTGTGGTCTGTGAACTGTGTTTGTCATTTGTCATCTTAGTTTTAGTTAATGTCATATGTAATTGTCATGTTATTCATTCAAACAAAACAATGCTAATTTCTTGTATATTAAAACCTAGTTTATAAAGGTTTTGCATTTCATTACACCCCTGTCCAATCCGTTCAGGGAATGGGTGATAGCTACAATAAGCAAGAGCAGTGGACGAAAAGATGGATGCCAACAACAGAGCCAGACGTCATCAAAATAACAAGTACGTCGATCGGCTTCACTGGATCAAACCTGCCACTCCCTATATGGACAAAATTAAATCGCATACGCACGGGTCATGGCAAATGTGCCGATTCTCTATACCGATGGGGTCATGCAGAAAGCCCACAATGTGATTGTGGATCCCCAAGACAGACCATCCAACACATCATGGCGGATTGCCCAATCCGCAGATACAGCGGAGACCTTCAAGATTTTGCAGAGTGTTCTCCTGGTGCAATTGAATGGCTGTGCAATTTGGACATTAATATTTAATATTTAACTTAGGTTACAATTCCAATTTGAACATAATTATTATCTAAATCCTACTTTTATCGTATTGTAATTATCCATACGCTAAATAAATAAATAAATAAATAAATAAATAAATAAGTGAGAGTCTAGATTCTGAACACTACCTTGTAAAAGCAAAACTCAGGGCATGTATATTTAATGCTAATAGAGGTAAAGGAAATATAATACTGAGGTACTAAAATCTGAATCCGCTAGAGATAGTTACTTTTAAATGATCATCATCATCAACCTGTATGCGTCTACGGCTGGACATAGGTCTCCCTTAGTTCTTTCCATTTGTCTCTGTCTTGTATCCAGTTATTGCTAACATGTTTCAGGTCGTCAGTCTATCTAGATGGTGGTTGCAATTGCTTCTTGCCTTGGTCTCCACTCTAAAATACGTTTTGTCCATCGATTTTCTGATAATCTGGCGACATGTCCTGCCCAATTCCATTTTAACGACGCGATTTTTTTTGATAGCGCCTGTTATTTTTGTTCTACGACGTATTTCTTCGTTTGGGATTCAGTCTCTCAGAGAGACACCCAACATCTGGCGCTCCATAGCCATCTGAGTCACGCGAATCTTATTAACTACCTTTTTTGTGGGTGTTAATGTTTCCGTTATGAAAGTACCTTTAGAAAAGAGACCAATATGTTATACTCAAAAACCTCTTCCATGCACTCAATATATGAGGTTTTAGAAGTAAACTGCTCAATATTATCAATTAAAGCCATAACTTCCACGGCCCGTAGATCCGACTATCCTCGTCGGTAAATGTTACATATTTATAGTATTATAATAAATAAGACTCAACTAACTTATTTATTGACCCCCTCACAATTGACATGAAACTGATAACCTAACATAACATAAAACACAGTGACCTCTTTTCTAAAGGTACTTTCATAACAATCTTCTCCGCTTAAAAAAGTAAAAAAAATAATTAAAATAAACAAATCTTACACATTTAATTTGGTAGGAGCTTTAATTACTTTACCTGAACAAGTAGTATTAACTTTTAGAGTAGTAGAAAGTCTGACCTCAGTTTTATCAAAGATCCTTTCGGTATTTTCATTAAAATCATTGAATTCATTCTTATCATTACTAATAGGACTCTCTAGGTGCTCCTACTGCTTCATTTGTTATTGATACTTCTCTCGACATTACATTATTAGGGTTTACATGTGTAACTGGTTCTTGCCTAGAATCATGTTTAACTTTCTCAGTAGTGGAAACCATCGTTTTTGTTCAGTATAGGTATCTATTATTCTATCTGCTTATGATTATGAAATACAGTTTAAAAAGGGAAAGGTGATTGCAAATGCTGATGGTCTATCGAGGTTTCCGATGACATCAGAAACAGAAATCTGAAGTTCTCTTTATTCTTTCAGTTTAGTTAATAGTATTCCGTTAAACTTTGAAGATATTATGAATGCACTAAGAAAGATTTGCTAATATTGCAAGTAATAGATTTTAGGTTATCGTGATGGCCTAAATCGGTATCAGATGTTTCTTGAAATCATTTTTAAAAGGAAATATGAATTACAAGTTAAAAATCATTACTCACTAGCAGGAAACAAAGTAATAAGCGTAATAATATCTTATCCCTATTTCATGAACAGCATTTAGGAGTAGTACGAACAAAAATGCTAGTTAGATCTTACTGTTGGTGGCCTAAGAACAGATGATATTGAAAATTTTATTAGTTCTTGCAGTATTTGTCAAGAAATACAAAACTTTTCTAATTCTAATACATTTTTGCCTTTGCCAAATGTTCCCAATAATTTTTATAGAGTCGGTATAGATTTTTTTAATAAGCGTGATCACACTTTTTAATAGTAATAGATAATAAATCTAAATGGATGGATGTTAAAATGATGAATAGGGGTACAAATTCTTCTGAAACAATTATTAAATTAAAAGAAGTATTTGCTGTGTTTGGGTTACCGGTCGAATTGGTTTCAGATAATGGACCACCCTTTAGTTTTAGTGAGTTTGTACAGTTTTGTCAAGCCAATGGGATCATACCAATAAAGGCATCACCCACAAAGTAATGGCATTGCAGAAAGGACAGGAATGGATGGATGTTAAAATGATGAATAGGGGTACAAATTCTTCTGAAACAATTATTAAATTAAAAGAAGTATTTGCCGTGTTTGGGTTACCTGTCGAATTGGTTTCAGATAATGGACCACCCTTTAGTTTTAGTGAGTTTGTACAGTTTTTTCAAGCCAATGGGATCATACCAATAAAGGCATCACCCACAAAGTAATGGCATTGCAGAGAGGACAGTGCAAATGGTAAAAAAGGGATTGGATAAACATTAAATTTTGGAATAAGTGTTCTTATACAAGACATGATTGCAAGCCAGTTGTTAAATTTTTTGTTTACATATAGAAATACACCATCAACTGTTACAGGCATTAGTCCATCAGAGAACTTATTTAAAGTTAAGCCTAGAAGGCAATTTAATTTAATTAAACCTAATAATAAACCTTGTACTGCAGAATCAAGTTTGCCCAATGGTATAAAACTATATAATATTAACGAAGTTGTATATGTAAAGAATAAATTAACCAAGTTATGGTCCAGGGGTAAGATAGTACAAGTTGTAAGTGCGTCAACATATTTCGTACAAATAGGGAAAAATATAAGTTTTTGTATATGCTAGTGATATTGGTAAATGTAAATTTGAGGAAGATACCTATACTGAACAAAAACCTATAGTTTCCACTATTCAAAAAGTTGTAAATGATTCTTGGCAAGAATCAGTTACACATGTAAACCCTAATGTCGAGAAAAGTATCAATAACAAATGAAGCAGTAGAGAGTCCTATTAGTAATGATAAGAATGAATTCAATGATTTTAATGAAAATACTGAAAAGATCTTTGATAAAACTGAGATCAGACTTTCTACTACTCTAAAAGTTACTGCTACTCGTTCAGATAGAGTAATTAAAGCTCCTACCAAATTAAATTTGTAAGATTTGTTTATTTAAATAATATAAATCCTGGTGTAAGAAGTTCAGCAGTTTTTGCCCTCGCACATTTCTTTATTCATAGCCATACTTACCTATTGCTACGTCTGCATCATCTTGTTTAAACCCAATTTTCACATTAAAGTTGACCATAATTATTCTGTATTATGCTGGTGTGGCATGTAACACTGTTTCTAGGTCCTCATGAAAAATTTCAATTTCTTCATCAAAGTGGGTAGTCGTTTTAGCATATGTTTAGATTACCTTAAGGTTATATCTAGCATTTTAGTTTTGTCTTTTATGGAAAATAACTTTTGGGGTTTTAAGCCATTAAAATGACATGCCGGGATCGCAGAGGAGTATCCACCCGCTACCTGCTAAATTTTAAATGAAGCTTTATAAAAAATCTAATTATAGATAAGAATACTAAATACTTGACTAAATGTAAAGAAACTATGCTTACATACAACGGCTAAAAGCATTTTAAAATCTAACAAGGCCAGAAAAAACAGAGATTGTTTCAACTAAGAGCATAGATCTTAACACCAAAATAAAAATGAAGCACATAAGAGATTACAGTAATGCAGAACGAAATAACTCTAAAAGATGATGAAATCCTTTAACAACAACAAAAAAGAGTGTTTAGAAGGAGCAAAATGAAAATGTTCTAAAAAAGATTGTTATCCACCATAACCAAAAAGACTTACTCTCATCCAGCCTTGTACTTCTTTCCAAGTACAAGGTAGTAGAAGAAGAAGATGGGACCAATCCGGCCAGTTATGAGAATTTTTATGGTCTTCTACTGCATATTTGCATGTTTATTTTTAGAAAATTTACTACATACTTCACAGAAGTGCTTTAGGTATCATTAGAGGACTTCAGAGTAAAAGAAAACATTGTTCATTAATTTTTTATTCTTTAAATGTTATTATAAATTAACAATATAAACAGATGTGGGGATGAAAACTGGTACATTTTTACAAATAATATTAAAAACTGTATAAAAATTATATCAAAAATTGCTAAATCTACATTAAAAGCTATAAATAACACATTAATTTACACGACCATAATCCCTCAATCTATCAATAATATCTAAAATTTCCCACCTCATAGAATTGACCTTTTCGTGAGTTAGTTTAGGACAACCTGTAAGTCTTCCATAGTGGCCAGCATAACTAGCAAGCTGCTCAGCATTGCACAGTAGATGTACTCCACAGTCATATCCATTGGTCTGCTGAAGACAAGGCACATTATGAACTTTTTCCTGGATTGGAAGTGAAAAATATTTCAGAATTTTTTCTCCTAGATCTAAAGCTTGGCCATAATTGCACCCTTGGGAAGAATCATAGTGGAATACCACTCTTTCAGGTCTTGAAAACACTGAAAAATAAATAAAAAAATATTTTTAGGAACACAAGAAAATAATAAACTTGCTAGGCTATGATCATATTAAGATTAAATAAAAGCAGACAACCTATCTACATTTTAATACTTGTAGATTCTAAATTTTTCAGATATTTTACTTCCTATAAGTGCTTCCCCTTTTACTTTTCTGTTCCATATTTTATAAAATTACTTCAAATATTACCTTATTTTAATAAACATACCTAAAAGACTCCAGTGAGATCCTCCAGAAGAGTCAATCATTTCATTGTCATTTAATGCAAAGAAAATAAAATCCCTCTGGGTAGAATCTATTAGTGGTTCTAGAAATACCTTGATTTCGCTTTGAGGAGATACCTTTATGCATTGCGTTACTTCGGGGGAAACGAACAACAGATGTGAACAGCCTTTAAATAAATCTGATTCTAAATATTCGAAATAAAAGGAAATGATCGTGTCATTTAACCAGAAAGGACCTTTTAGGAGTTCCACGTCAGATGTTCTCAATAAGCTCTCTTTGTAGCTTAAAACGATATTATCAGTCATTTCACCAAATATGGAAATCTCATTTTACTGGAAGTTTTAATGTTATTATTGAATTAAAAAAAGAGAGGTTATATACAATGTTTCTTCTTCTCTTTTCTTGTTTTGACTCACAGGATAAAAAACTAATATCTAGAGCCTAACGTGGCCTCTCACTATTCTGTGCAGACTTGCGCAGTTCATTTGTATCCACATCTGCAGGTGACAATCAGTGACAATGAGGTTTATGTGTATTGTTGGTTGCATAAGAATAACTCTAAAATTAATAGTAAATAATAGCAAATCAAAATTAAAGGTTTTTTAAAATAGTTTTAAAAACTATTAAAAAAAATATTTTTTGCGCATTGTTTCCAATAAAAATTTGTTATTTTATATACAGGATGTTGACTGATGTTATATATCAATTACTATACCAACTTTCTTATTTTAAATGAAACATTGGTTAGGTATACAGATATAAAATCATATTTTCAAGGAATTAGACAAAGATAACAATCATATTTCCCCTTCGTCTCCCCTCCTAAAATCCTTTTAACACTCATTGGCCATTGCCCATTAGTGAGACGATTAGTTCCGATCAGATATTCTCTGGTTCCGATCCTAATATACCTAAAAAACTAGAGGTGGGTCTTCTCGTTTTTTTAATTTTTATCGGAACCGTTTTTCGTAAACTGTAACTAGTTGATTGTTTACCAATATTCAAATTAGCGAGTACACAAACATATTAGCTATTATCGTTTATGTGTATAAGTATTGAAATAAAAGAACCTAACGAAGGATATATTTATTGTAACTTGAAAAATAAATTAAATAATACAAATGGTACTTAAATAGTTACATTTACATTACACATTATTAAATCGCGAATCGTCTAAATTGACATTTAAAAACATAAGTTTTTCCACTTTTCTTGTTAATCGCGTTCTTCTTTTATTTAAAATTATACCAGATGTTAAACATGTGTTCACAAGGAAAAGATTTTGTTACAATACTACAACATTTTATGAATATAGTGGTTAAGTTACGATATACATGGCGATGGTTTTTTCACCACGGTAATGGACAGTTCCAATCTCTGTTCGAAATTGTTTGTGGGTAATATATCATCAGACAATTACATGTCGACTTCTTTTATACCTCTCGATACAGGTGTATGTTTAGATGAGTCATGTCCAATTAATTCATCAAAAATACACCATGGACTTAAGTCATCTTTATCAGTTTCTTTTTCTTGGACTGATTGATTTTCAAGATTAACTAAACTTTTCGTTTCATCCATTTTCCATAGTTAAAGAACCAGCTTTTAAAAAGTTTGCAGGGTGGATTCCTGGATATAAACCGCCAACAAGAAAAACTTTGTCAGGTTCATTACTTCAGGAATGTTATGTCAAAAGTGAGCAAATTATTAGATCGCAAGTTGTTAAAGAAGTAGAAAATATCTGTATTACTACTGACCTCTGGACATCTGGAGTAACTGAGAGTTACTTCGCATTAACAGGACAATATTTAACCGAAAATTTAGTATTCAAAACTTTTTTATTAGGCTGCTGCCATTTTTCTGGAAACCATAATCCAGAAAACAGCGATTACTGAAATTATTAATCAGTCGGGTCTAAAACGAAAAGTAAATTTTGCAGTAACTGATAATTCGTAAAATATGGTCAAAGCTATTAAATATGTTTTGTTTTATGATGATTGTGATTTATGATGATGATTAAATTTATTGGTGGGGGACGCACTTAAATGCTGTCGTGTACAAATAGATAAAATAAAAAGTCCTTTTTTCGACAATTCTGCAAAAAAAACACATTTCAAAAAAGTACCTTATCTTCAGAAAGGCTGTTAAAGTATTAATTACAACAGAACACAGTTCCCAAACGGCCAATCCAAGACGTGGAAACTAGGAAGAACTTCACCTATTACATGTTAAAAAGAATGACCGAGTTAGAAGAGGCAACCCGTTCCACATTGGTATTAAATAATACAGACTTAGACTTAAACCTAATCTAAATAAAGAACACTGGATTATTTGTTCTCAACTTTCCCAAATTTTACGGCCGTTTAAAGAAATAACAAGTACAATGAGTGACCAAAAATACTTGAATGCTAGTTCAGTGATTGTTATGGTACGCTGCCTGCAAGAATTGTCATTATGTACATTTATGGATTCACGATTTAAAGTGCAGAACAAAACAAAAAGTTAAGAAGCTGGTTACTTCTATAATTAACGAACAAGAAGATTGTACTATTGAAAATCAACCAGTACAAGAAAAAGAAACCAATAAATATGACTTAAGTCCATGGTGTATTTTTGATCAATTAATTGGAGATGACTCATCTACACGTACACCTGCATGGAGAGTCCATTACAACGGTGGAAAAACCATCGCCATGTATATCCTAACTTAACCACTATATTCATAAAGTATTGTAAATGTGAACACATGTTCAAAATCTGGTTTAATTTTAAATAAAAAAGAATACGGTTAACAAGAAGTAAAGTAGAGAGAAAGAGAAGTAAAGTAAAGAAAAACTTATGTTTTTATGTCAATTTAGACTATTCGCGATTTAATAATAACGTGTAATGTAAATGTAAGTCCGATTTACTATTTGTATTGTTTAGTTTAGAACAGAATATTTAAAACAGAATATTTAAAAATTGGAGGAAATACCACAGATCTGAGGCTTGAAAACGCAGTCATAAAAGGCTGCAACCAGTATAAATATCTAGGAAGCATCATATCAGCAGATGGCAGAGTTAAGATAGATGTACAAAACCGAATAACCCAAGGGAAAAAATGCATCCGAATACTGAATTCATTACTGTGGTCTAATAAAATAAAGATGCATACCAAACTTCGCGTATACAGAGCAATTGTAGAACCAATTACCACATATGGTGCCGAATGTTGGACGATGACAAAGAATGAACGAGATAAAGTAGACGTTGTGGAAATGGATTATCTTAGAAGGTCATGTCGAGTATCAAGAATGGAAAGAATCAGGAATGAGGAAATACGAAACCGTACAGGAATTAGAGATACTCTTTCAGATAGAATACAAGAAAGGCAATTACAATGGTATGGTCACGTGATGAGAATGGAGGAGGAGCGGTGGCCAAAGAAAGCCTTAATGTATGTTCCGCCAGAAAGAAGGAAAAGGGGAAGACCACCAAATTCCTGGAGAAGAGAAATTACAAAAACAATGCAATCTAGAGGCTTAGAAGAGGGAGATTGGGGAGATAGGAAAAGATGGAGGCTGAAATGCGAGAAGCGGCAATCGCCGTAGGACCCCCGTTATATGATGATGATGATTGTTTAGTTTATTTTTCAAGTTATAATAAATATATCATTAGGTAGTTTCTTTCACTTCAAAAGATATACACATAAACGATAATAGCCGTTATGTTTATTTATGTAGGTACTATCTTACTTGAAACTACTTTTAAACAATCATAGTTACTTGTTTATGAAAATTAAAATTTTTAAATGCTTTTTAGCATTCAAAAAAAATTAAATTTTTTTGGAATCCTGAGAAAACTAACAAATATTTTTGAAAAATTTAAAGGCAGAATGAAAGATTACATTATTACCGAGGGCCGAAGGTCCCTTAGAATAAACAAAAAGTTTTTTTAATGAGATATTTGAAAATTAAAAATCACACTAAATTTTGTTTTTTTTTTATCCCTATAACTTATTAAAATAAACATTATAGAAGTTTTCAGGGACTTTCAGCTCTCGGTAATAATGTATTGTTTCATTCTGCGTTTAATTTTTTCAAAAATATTTATTAGTTTTCTCAGGATTCGAAAAAAAATGAATGCATTTAAAAAACTGGCCCGAAATTTTGCTCCTACGCTGTTAACGATAAACTAGCACGACCCACCTCTACTTCTCGTTACTCGATCTTTTGACCAGACGACAATCTAGACTAGACGTTGCCAAATAAATTAGTGTATGAATATTTTTTAGTTTGGCGTTATTGTATGCATGTTTAATTGTTTATTATTTCATATTGGGAAATTATTTTGATATTTAGATTTTTAGTTCGGAAATCGTACTTAAAATACGAAACATTAATAAATTTTATTTATATAAAACGATTTCCGAAATGGAAATCAAAATGTTATATTACAATTATTGTAAAGAAAACTTGTGGCATATTCCCAATAAAAAAAAACAGTAACCTGCCATTTAAATTAATTTCGCCCAAATTTGATTGTCTTGAGCATTTTATCTTCTTGATAGAACATTGTTCAAATGCAAAAAAAGACAACAGGTCAAATAAAACCAATAAGTTTGGCAACGTTGAATTTCCCCTTTTTTAATATTTCCATTCGGCGATATAAGGGCGTACCTAATATACCTCTCTCTTTTTAAACAGCTGTTTCTCACTCCATCTCACGTAAGGTCCATACCGACCATAAAATTTTTCCTACACTGTATTATAAATTTTTTGGATTATGCACAAAATTTCCAGAACTTTGATATATTGAATGTTATAGTTTTAATCATGATACTATGAATAACAAGATAGGATCTTCCCGTAGCCCAAAATCGGTCGTGTTCGCGCATGCCGTCATTGGAGAGTAGAATTTGAATTCTTGTTAAAGTTAAATGGGATTTGTATGCATTCTGTGATGAAATTACTGGACGAAAATAAGTTAAGAAGTTCAATAATTACAATAATTGTACACATAAGGATATCTCCAAACTATTTATTAAAGATTATTTATTGACACATACAAAAAACTGACATTTCGAACGTGTAACTCTCCAATGACGTCACGACTTATGCGCAATAACTTATCTTCTTATCATAGTATAATGGTTTTAATTATTTATTTTAGGATACAGGGTGGTTAATGAATAGATCACTCTCTGCGTGCCTCCTTATGACTTTAAAAAGGTTCTATACCTAATTTCAATAAAGAAGAGTGAGTTCATTTTCGTATCTCAACTTGTTTTTTAATAATGTATATAGTACTCTAAGATATGTACCTATATTCTTTTAAAATAGATATTATGTCAAATAAATGAAACCTGCCTATATTTTTACCAGGTGTGAAATGGAAT